CGTCGTAAGAGTGGTATGTGACGCTGTGTCCGATAATGGAGGTAGATCACGTGACGTACATCTTCGGCAGCTTCTCTCGTCGACGTCAGGCTGACGACGTGACTGCTTCCAAGAGGAAGTCTTTGGATCCATCCCCCATTGTGACACAGCAGTGTCGAACTGGAAGGTATGAACAGGCCGGCACTGTTTTTATTATGATTTCTTCGTTTTTTAATTACACTTTTCCAACTGTATATGTTAGATCGAATAAGAAATGGCAAAATGGCTATGGATAAATGTGACATGTTTAAGCCACAAAACCCATCTTTTACCTTTGGACGATAAATTTCAGCCAGGATTTGAAAGAGGCTAATCCCGAATAAAAACAGATGCGCGATCGTATAATACGAAGCGACGTTTAGTTTTACGGTGTCAGAAATCGACTGCAGGTTGCGTTTCGGCTCCTCCATAATAAGCGGGCCGCTTGTCACTACGTCGTGGCTTCCTCAGATTTACGATGGACGGTCTCCAGATCTGGAAGGTACCCGCAAATGTAGTTAACAAGCTGACAGACTACAATGGGTGGCCCTCCAGTATGCGGAAATGAGAATTGGGTGAGAGGCTAACACCCCGTCACCTGATAATCAGCATTTTGCGAAATGGTACACCGACTCGGAAGCATTCTGTGGTACAGCGCAAGATTCGTGTGTGAAAATAGGTCTTCGTAAACAGGACCAGGCGGGGTTTGTGGGTGTGGTAATGAAAATTCCGGCTTTAGAAAATGCGTTTCGACCTCAAACGTGTTTGGCATTAATGTAATTCAAAGTGTAAACAGTTTTTTTATATACATACTTTATATCTTATTAAACAAGTTTTTTTGATTCCAGGTAACTGTCTCTCGTCATGCAGAGTGATACGGTAAAAAATGTACCTTGGCCGCATACAACACTAATCCCTGATTTAAGCCGTCTCCTGTACTCATCTCGAGCTAGTGTTACGTTGCTATGTCAATGAAACGTGATAAATGTCCATGCTGTAATTTTATGTAATTTATTTGGAACGTATTTCAATTTGCTGAACAGGTAACAAACTGTAAGAGTCATTCACATAATTCGTTGACCTATTTAATATCTATCATGCTTGCCGCACGTCCGAAAGACAGGTCCTCGGTCAGTCAGTTCGTTAGTCTGTCAATCGGTCGGATAGTTAGTGCGCTAGGTGTTCCGTCAATAAGTCAATCAGTTACTCTGTTACTTGGTTAAGTGTCTGTAAGTTGAACTTCTCCTGTCCGTGTCTGATCCATCATCCACCTTCTGAACACAAGTCTGAAATCTTCCAGTTTTAAAGTTTCGATATGTATTTATTGCTTAATATTAATCATGATCTTTGTTAAGTGCAAGTATTGTAATTGCTGAGGTAGAGGGAGATAACATAAAACGCGACGGGTGTAAACAAATTCGTGCCAGGGCCGTGATAGTAGTTTGAAAGGCGAACCCCAGCCTTGAAAAAGCAAGTTTCATGCGTTGTTTTTCAAACAATATCCTTATGCAAATATGGCTTTATAATGTCACACCAGTGTCGTATTTACTCCGTTATCTTGTTTATTACGTGTTGCGACAGAATCCGTATAAGTTGAGCAAAAACTTCATTACGAAGGCAAAACTGCTGAGTACTTATTGATTCGCGATGCAGTAACAAGAGTGTTGAGTTCAACATTTTTTTATTATTTAGTGTTCTGTCTGACGACAGGTCCATATATTATGAACAGGATCCCTCCATCCTCTTCAGGTTGTCAGGGGACCTGTTCACATATATACATTCTTGGTAGTTGATCCAGAAGTGGTTTGCCATTGCCTTCTTCTGTGTGAGTGGAGTAATTGTTGGGATGCCACGGAGAAACCGGGGAAGCCCCCAGAGGAAAACGCCGTGACGCCTAGACCACTGCCTTGCCCAACACAAGTTATAAATCTGAGCACCACCGGGAATTGAACCCGGGACCCCAGGATTACAAGGCTAGCGTCCTGACCGCTAGACCACCGTGAAAAGAGAGGTCTTAATGCTGTGTTTATACTTCATATGACCCACTTATTGGTTCTATATTTAGCAGCCTCGCAGTTTCGTGTTAGTTTTATAATGACAATATCGAGCTTACATTAGTGTTGAATTTTTGTCGAGGTTGGGAAATTAGAGGTCACAACTCGTTGCTACTAAACATTCTCCGTAGTATTGCGACATGGTGTGTTATTTGACGACGTATGGTTTTGCTATGAGGTTTGTGGTCACTGTAGTACCAGTAATTTATACGTCTGAGTAAATAGATATGCTTTAAGATTTACTGATGTTTTAGCTGTTCATGATATTAACATTCTGTGTCTTGTCTTTTATAACTTTTCTTTTTTCTCTCTAATTTACTTTGGCATGAGTAAATTGTATAATGCTGAAATAAATATTTGGACCTGAGGGGGGCGAATGGAATGTATGTTGCGTACGAAGGGCTTCGTGATACGGAGGTTATGAAGGTGGTTATGTGGTTTATATTACATAAGCGAAAGAAGTTTGGTGAAAACTTTCTTGAAAGGCGACCACTTGGAAGGTCAATAAGATGGTAGTGTAATATTAAGGAAACTAAATTGGTATAATATAAGGCGAATGAGACTGGCTCAGGATCGTGTCCAATATATATTTAATTTTCGGGATTTGCTATCAGAGTTTTTTATAATTTTATTGCAGTATTAGTTACTGCTTTCATGCTTCGGACCGGCGATACGGAATGCGCACTGGTTCGAGTCTCGGGGAAAGAAATTTCTCATGAGCTTTCGCCCAGTGTATGGGACCAGTGCCAACCCAGCATCGTGAGGAAATTGGGGCGCTACAATGAGTAGCGTAATCCGGTCAGGGAAGCTAGCAATGGCTGGGGGTTCGTCTTGCTGACCACACGTCACCCTACGTATATCTGGTTGGATGATCGTTCACCTCTGCTTAGGCATGTGAACGTGAGGCCAGCAGCCAGCTATTCGGCTTTGGCTCTCAGAGGGCTGTACGCCACGGATTATTATTAGTTACTGCTTTATCTAAGTATTCATTGCCTGTCCTCACGTTCTCAATGTTTATTGTGTTTCTATGAAAAATATATTTTAGAGTTATTCTGTCTTGTTTCAGTTAAACAATTCTTTCTCATAAATTCTGACGTCATTATTGATAAAGAATCTCTTATAAACTTTACATTCTCTGTTTGCCATTTCAGTTTTTCTCGATGTAAACTTCCTTGTTATATTCTTCCTTTACCGTGTTTATTCCGTTTTCCCCCTTCGTTGCCAGTGGTGTTGATAGTGTATAATAGTGGGATTTTATTCTGATTATTTGCGTTGTATTTTTCATCCGTCGCTTTGTCTCAGAGATAAAATACAATTCATTTCCTGCTCTTCTTGATTCTGTTGTGCCTTCATGATAGCATGTTAAGCTTGTGTCGAACAAGTAGGCTAATAGTAGATTCAAAATCCTTTCATCTATGCGATTTTCTCCGTTTTTCCATCTCTGGTCTTTTTGCTAAATGGCCATAACAGGTTTCATAGTGTATAAAGTGGTGTACGCTTTTTTCTTTGGCAATTGTTTAATGCGCAATACGATCGCTGTGCGGCGCCACTGCGCTAAATCTGTCGGCATCCTTTGTGTTTGGTCAATTTGAATACATATTAAGATGACTGTCATAATCTACAGTATAGGTCATTTAATTGGGCCTATTTAAATACCACTTAGGTAGCTATTTTAACAAAGCGTGGGCGAGGAATAGGCGTTTTAGTTAGTCTTTAATAAAATATTGTATTTAGAAAGTAAGATATATTTTATATGAGCATAACAAGCCTTATGGTTGGAAGCTGTATGGAAATTATTCATACCAATGTTTTATGGACAGTAGTTTGGAATAATATGGCAGTAAGACGTTAAATACTAACGATGCCTGTTATATTATTCCTATTACAAATTTGATGTTATTCAATTTCGTAACATAAACAGTAAACTTTCAAACCTTGCGAAGACAATTCCGAACAATGTCTGCTGTTCTTGGTTCTTGAATTTGTGGGGCATGGCACGTGCGTTTGAGCGATGCTTCCCTGCGGGTCCGTCATTTCCTAACAAAGGAGTCTCAGATCGTTGCGTCTATGTTTTAAGAAAGTTTCGTTTTGTTTATTGCAGGATATACGAATATGTGATTGCGTCACGACAAGATGTTTTGAAACTTGGAATTCTCAGAAAGGAGTATTGCTTCACATTTAAATTTGTTGCAGTTAGATGAAGCAGAGCCTCGATTATCCATAACTTACCCGTATGTCGCATTGAAAGTCAGAGGCATTACTTACAAAAATAAATAAATAAGACACCGGTATGTGTAATTACTGGACTAATAGTTTGCCAAAACTGTTAAATAAAACTTTGTTTTATTTTATCTTCGTAAGTAGGTAATCCTATGCAGTTTTACTACCAAAAGTATTTGAATATTTTCAGTGTTCCTTATTATGATAAGAAGTTGTTAATTGAAACCCGAACAAAATTTAAATTAAGAGAAAAATTAACTTAAAAACAAAAACACGAAGCAAACCAAGTTATGAATGGAAGTGAACGCGTTGGATTCAGTAGTCCACAAGCTTTCAAATTCCATCACAGCAAAATGGTTTTAGCTGTGCCGTAAGCCATTCTTTCTTTGCGTGTTTCCATAATTGATTAACATTTCAGATGATATTTTATAAATGTTAATTCTTCGGTCGTCCCGAATACACCGATAAATCTGTTCCTTAAGATCAGTATATATGGCAGTCGGTGTAGTCCGGAATGCTCTCATAAAGAACACTCGTCCGCCCTCCTTCGACTCTTCACTAATTCCTAAACTTTCCTCTATTCATGTAGTTATCGCCATGCTAGACTCTCATTTTTCCGTAGTTTCCACACCCCGTGATCACAAAATTGCATCGCATATCATTCTTCTTCTTTGGTACGTTTTGTGCATGGAAAAGCCATGTTAAACACGTAAGTTATTATGACTATTCAAAATGCATGGAAAATAAATCAGGTTCAAGTGAGAGAACGTTTATATTCATATTGGCCGTATTTTTCAGGGCTTCCAATAGTCTTCGTTATTTAACAATGCTACATCTTTATACGTCAGATGGTATTGGTTACATTAATAATAGTGAAGAATGTAAAATTAATTTAATGAACGGCACTGGAAATGAAAAATTAACTTCAGTGCAGGTTTGTTCGCTAAATTAAAAATGGAACTCGAATCTGAGCCCAAAGGATTTCTCTTGATAACCATATGGCTATTTTGTACAGACAACGCGAGGTAATGAGGAACACAAATTTTGTTACTCAGCCTGTACCTGTGTTTCTTGTGCAAGCGAAAAACTCTGTGTTTGTTTCAATGGATGGCACTATTTCATTGTGTTTCTAGATTGGGGATCACTCGCATTGGTCGTAAGGCTGAAACTTTCATATCACAAGCTAGAACCCCCCTTGGGACATACTGTCTCAATATTCAGCCCTGACAATGGAAAAAGTATGTTTCTCCGAAATGTTGGCATTTGCCGATGAGTCTACACTATACCAAACCCAGAAGAACGTTATCATTAAGAAAAACTGTCGTGATAGCTGTCTCTAGTGCCTCATGTTTAGCGACGTCAGAATACTAATTATATATTATTTTATAGTCCAGTTTTATCCTCTAGACTTGTGTCGTCTAAAATATGTCATTCCCTCCACATCCCGTCCGTTTAAAACTTAAAACTTGAGAACCAAAGCCTGTAGAAGAACCTGTTTATAGGTTGCTCTATGGACGCCAGGTTAGTGCACTTCGTCGTCACGTTCGACGTTCAATATGTCTAATTTTACCACATCACTCACTGTTGTATTAGGGAAACGTCAAATTATCGCAGCGCCCCAACAAATTTCTTAGGTTTGGCATTAATGACTGCTGTACATATGTACCAGTTGAAGGTAGAAATTCAACGTTCCCTTTAACAGTGTACTCGTGTTTTCTTTCAAGCGTTTCTCTAAAGAGTTGTTTACTCGTGAAATTCTCGAAATAACTTTCACCAGAAAGGTAAATACAAGACTAATGTTTATTATTCTTCAGTTTGTTATTAAAATACAGCGTTTCAAACAAAATGTTTATTGACAACCGTTATTTATCTACGTGTTATTCGTGGTCTTAGAGTTATTCTTTTGAAGTAAATTGATTTGGTATAGAGATTTTGTAGACGTGTGTGTGCCCTTTTCTGTTGATAATACGGTGTCTCACATATAGGGACACAAAACAGTTTCAAAGCGAATTTATAAAGTGCAGTATTTTATAAAGATGAACAATAAAAGCTGATTTTACGTGAATGTGAAACTTGGCCAGTTGCTGTAAGTGACGATCATAGAATTAATGTATTTTAGAACAGCTGAGAAGAATATTTTAATATAAGAGAGAGTGAGTGAGAGGGGGAGAGGAAGACATGCTGATAGTGGAAACTGCATAATGAAGAACTCTATAATTTTGTATTTTCGCAGAATGATCTAAAGATATCACTTGGCAGGTCTAGGCTCGGATGGAAAGGCAGTATTAAAATGGATCTTAAATCAATACAAGTGGGAGGTCCCAAGTTACAATATCTGCAGGAAGTCCTTCTGCCCTCAGTATGTTCGTCTGTGGTCTGCTGACTACATTTCGGGAGATGCCTTAAAATATTGAAAATAGACCACAACCTTTTCCGTAATTACTCTCGATTTATTCACAGTTAACCTACAATATTTCAACATCTCATAACCTTAACAGCTGATGCAGTGTCGTAAAATAAAACAAGTAAATTCAAGCTAGGCAGTTGGTTTACATTAACATGCAACATCTAATACGATAAGCAGACTGAAGTAGACTTCCGTTGCATGGAAGACGAGACAGTAGGATGCCTTATGTTGTCTGCATTTAGCAGGATGCCCGTCGAGAACCGGGACGACCAACAATTTCTATGTCCGTTGTGCCAGCGGCAGTTCACGGATCCGAAAGTTTTGCCGTGCCTGCACACCTTTTGCACCGCCTGCCTGCACAAGTTAGAGTCGAACCGAGGTCTGTCATCGTGGGATGGCGAGTGTGCTACCCGATCCGAGGGCGAGTTGGGTGAGTTACGAAGGCGATGTAGGCCACCCGAACTTCATACGCTCCATTTTTTTTGCCACATTGAATGCAAATATATCGATTGTGCCAGCTGCTCTTATGGGAATGAAACCAGCAGCTCTTAATGTAATCCTGTTGTGTAGAGATCTTAAAAAATTAACCTTTTGTCAAGGCTGTAGTATTTAATAGAACGAGAAATAGCATCTCAAATCTAAAAGTTTGTGACGATGGTGAGTTAGTTAGTTACTTATATACTTTCTTTGTGTGCTGTGTGTGTCAGTTAATTTTATAACTAATCAGTTATTAACATTGTATTGGGACAGAATTTGTGCGGCTGGCACACAACGGAACAGGGGCTGAGGTGAATGGAAGTTCCACGGGATCTGGATCTGGTTGTTCCGGAGGGTCAGGATATGAGAGTGAAGGACACTCAGACTCTGGCAGCTGGGCATTCAGGAACAAAGCTTACAGTCTGCTGGCCTGCCCCACATGTGGCACTAAGAACAAACTACCTCCTGGAGGGGTTGCAGTCCTTCCACCCCACTACATGCTACAGCACCGCATGGTCCTTGCATCTCTCAATCAGGAAAGCACCTGCCTACTCTGTGACTTGTGCTCCACTGACATTCCAGTAAGGCAAACTGAATTCTGTCTGCCACTTCTGGCACTTTTAAAGCTTAGAGATGCTTTCTTTTAGTCTTAGAGAGTCAGAAGATGTGATGATTTTCTGTTGGCTCACACCACTTGCCAAACCTGAACCTTTTTGTACTGGAATTTGAAGGACACTGATGGGAGTATACTATTATGTTCAGAAGGATTTCTTATACAGAGTGTAACTTATGGATCTTGAAAAGTGTACTTGTGAATGTACAGGCCTATTTTCATTACTGAAATTTCCAACATGGCATCACACTTTTTATGCTTCTGCTCTTTGTTCAGGGCAGATATTTTGTAGAAAGTGCTTGTAATTAAATTTTCAAATAAAATGTTTAAAATATACTCCATTACATTAGGGCACCTTTCCGTTGCCATTTTCACAATTCATAAGAGGAAAAAATATCCACCGTTTCATAGGATGAACAATGTTCATTTTGATGAAACAGTTGCTATGAACTTATTTGGTTTTCAAAGCCAATACAGCTATACTGGTAATGGTCATTATTAGATTTTTTAACTTTGCCAGTGGATGCTGAGTTTTTGAAAGAAGAGATGCTGAAATTGAACATCAGAAACTAGATCATAAATGGTAGTGGTAGTGTTGATGCTGTGGGTACTGAAGTGTATCACTGAAATTTTATCTGACTGCACTGTGTGGCTTTGATCCGAATACCTCACCCCTACGCTCTTGCCTATTCTGCTTGGTGTGGCTCTGAGAACAAAGGGAAAGAAATTAAACTATGACAAATTGTTAGTAATTTTAGAAATGAAAGAAGAATGTAACTCGAAAAGAAGGCATTTTCAGATCCATATACATATGAATGTTCTTTATTGTTCTGGTTTGTAGAACTCATCACTGTACTGCTTTAACCCAGAAGAAAGTGCTCCTGGTACTTATTGATAAGAAGGTGGTGTATCTCAGAGGTGATTTTGGTGTGGCGTATATATGCATTTTAAAAGCTTCCTCATTACTTTGTCATTAAATTAGGTAATTGTAATTGAAATATGGATGACCATACTGGGGTTCAGACTGATTTCCTTCCTGGTACATATCTTGTATGGTTACTGCAAAGCTATACTATTTGATTGGTCTTTGGAAAACAATGTATTTTATGCTCATGTCATTAAATAATCGAAGATTTGCGAGAGTTTTGAGAATTGCTAAGGAGGTGTCCACTGTTAATGTTTCTTATTTTAACTTCATTTATCATACATTTTCTTACCGTTATATGAAAAGTTGCCAACATTTTAATGTCATTTCACATTAATCTTTATGAATGGCTCATCCTTTAAAGTTAATATGCTGAGTCCCATATTCCTCCACAGAAAGGAACAACAAACAAACGTTTGCTATGAGCAGGAGATAATTTGTCACTTTGGCAACTTGACTTGCACCAGGCAGATACAACCCATCTTGTGCCCAGATGTGTTTGTAGCAGTTTTAATTTATAATATTCAGCTGTTATTGATCACTGTTACAGTTGAGATTTTTTGTGCTTCTTATTGGAGAGGCATGTGATGTAATGTATAGTATGTGTAAGGAATCATGCATCTTGCACAGTCGGCATGTTGAAACTTAGCCATACTACACAAATATTTTTCTGTTGCTTTTAATGACTTTTATACATTCTTTTCATGAAGACAAAATACTAGTAATGAGTTTCACAGAAACAGCTAAGAAATTTACCATGCTGAAAGATTATTATATTTGTTGCTTTCCTCCTTCTTTCCTTCCTGATTTCATCAAAACGATTTTTAAATCAAAATAAATTATTATATATGTAACTATGTATCGATTTCCTAACATCAGTGACATATTTTAGTTTCTGATCACCATTCTTCTCCATCCATCCACTGTCCTTCTTCTGCTTCTCTCTCTATTATTGCATCCTGCACATTAATTTTATCCATCTAACTCTTATCTTCCTTCTTTCCTCATCCACTTCAGCACTTGTTTGGGTCATCTGTTGTTTGACATTCTTTGGATGTGTCTCTACCATATTATTCATGATTTATTACAGATAACTGAAAGAAATTAATCTGAAATCAGGTACATAATTATCATCAAATGGTAAAATTGTTTGGTTATTTTACAACACTTTACGTGATGGATACTGATTCAATTTGTGAGTCTTTGCTTAAAGTTGTCTGACTATTTTAATTTTATGGATTGTGGTGGTGCCATATCTCATAATTTATGTGAAGCACGTATTAAACTTCATCATTTATTAAAAACTGCTTATAATACTAAATAATTAGTACATGATAGAAAATATAGATCTGAATAATACCTATAACTTTTATTTGAAATATTGCCTGATAGGATGACTTTGATTCATTTTGTAAGAACAGACTTGCAACTGCAGTAAATTAGTATGAAGACCAGTGTGGTATACAAAATAACAAAGAACATATCTTATTTTCATTCTTGTTGTATGCAACTCTAGATTCCTTCTTTTCAGGCTACCAGCCGTTGCACAGATTGTCTCCTGAGTCTGTGTACATTCTGCTGTGAAGCACACCAACGACAACGTGTAACAGCAGGTCATGAGGTGTTAGCCCTTCATGAGGCCCGTCAGCGAGGCATTACAAGGGTTCGTCGGCAAGCTATGTGTCCAGCTCACCCAGAACTAGAACTGCAGCTGTTTTGCACATCATGTGGTCAGGTGGCATGCCGTGAGTGCTGCTTGTTAATCCATCATGGCCATGCCTGTGATACTGCAGCTCAAGCTGTTCAGATGTACACTCACAGCATGAAAGATGCTCTAGAAAGTGCTCGTCCAATTGCTGAAGAGGTTGTAGTAAGCCTGGGTAGACTACAACACCTGAGTAAAAGAATACAGGTACAAAATAAACAGTAAAATTGCCTAAACTTTTGTGTGTCACTCTTAATTAGTTACATAATGAGTTGTCAATTTTTTTTCCTTATGTTTGAATTACTTTGTGACACTTGAAGATGTGTTCTTTCTAAAATGAGTTACTTGTGTTAAGTTATTTTTCCTCTGTAAAGTGTTGTTTGAGTGTCATATCAAATAGGATTTATGTTGATATTGCTATGAACTAAAATTAAATTCACTTGATAACTTTTATTGTAGCTAGCCACACATGCAGCCAGACACACACACACACACACACACACACCACCTTGTTCCAAATTTAATATAAATTTGTTCTGTAGTTCCAGAAATAAAACAAGCTGGCAAATGTGCATTTAGAGAACACATAAAAATTATTGGCTGACAGAATAGTGATCTGATTGTAATGGTACCAAACTTGTGTGATGTGTTACAGATGCGATGTAGCCAGGTGCATGAGGAAGTGGACCAGTTTATTGACTCATACATTTCTGCTCTTGAGGAGCATCGAAGAACTCTTCAAGTACAGGTGCAAGAGGCTCATGAGGCGAAGCTTCATATGATCCATGCACAACAGCTGGAGCTGGAAAGACATGCAAAAGACTCTCAGAATGCAGTTTCATTTGCAGAGGATCTCTTGGCAGAGAGCTCTGACATTGAGGTAGTTTTGATTTTGCATTTTATTTACAGTACCTCTAAACTGAGTAGACAGAACTTAAGGCTTGTAACAGAAGAATGTATAACATACATAACTAACCACTTGCCTGATGAACATATTGGTACAAGTTTTTCCCTGAGAAGTCATTGCCATTATCACCAATGCTCACAACTTTATCATGTCTTGAATCATTTAAATACGTTTTGCATCCCACAATTTTTCTCCCTAATATCTATCTTAAAATTATTCTCCCATCTACATCTTGGTCTCTTAAGCAGCCTGTTTTCAAACCAGCATTTAGTCTAAATTTACAATTTTTCATGTTCATACTCACTCATCTGTTTTCTTGTGAAGAGTACAAATTATTATTAAGTTCCTGTTTATTAGTAGACACATTATGGTTTAATGAATATTCATGTGCTATAAAAAATTTACAGGATTATTAAAATAAAATGAAATTAAGTATGATCCATATTGAGCACATTGAACTACCATTTTATATCAAGCTCTGAATAAAGATTGCTGTCTTATGGGTTATTGCGCCATGTAGTCTGGTAGATTTTCACCGACATTCCAGAGGTCATACTGCCTCCGTCATCAGCACGATAAATGTGCCAATCGAGTGGAAAGGGTCAGGTTTGTAGGGACCAGACAGTAACTGGAGAAGCCTGATCCTAGCCAATGAGAGCTGGTGTCAAATCAGGCATGGGTGAGGACCAATAGGAGTACTCTGAATAATTATTCATGTTATATATTTTCTAACACTGACATATTTAGACTTCTTACACCCAAGTAAAACATATTTCTGTGTCTTTTTGGTCAGATTTGTGGTCATGGTGAGAATACACTTTCTCAGGCTGAATGCATTTGATCATATTCAGAGCCAGACAATTGGGAATAAAAATTATCATTTCCTAAATAGTAATAAAATGTGACAAAAGGCATCAATTAATTTATTTTATTTCTTTTTTCTTTACCATTGAGTGGTTCAGTCATATGGAAATATTAACATAGAAAGAAATGTAAGTTTGCTAACCTATGCAAAGATTGTTTGTGACATAGTAGGTTGAAATTCACAGTATGTTATGATGTGTCATGACACATGTAATATCCTGACCCACACAGTTGAGCATTTGTGATCAGAAAAATACAAGGCAAAGTTTGTGTTTCTTGCTTTCAGTATTTGCTCATTTCAGATAAAATATTTGCCTCTGATTTATTGAAGGATATAAACATATTCTGTTATTATAATTGTATAATAGTGGCAGTGTGTTTATTGGTGTATTTATTGATTTATGAGAGCAGTGATTTTCAGCTTGTTGGTCACGCAGTATACAAAATTAAATTAAAAAGGATTGTGTGTTTTACTATGTAAAATTACTATAAAAAACTTCTGTTTGGAGCAAATATATACATATATGTTATTCACATTTTTGTCTCACTCAATAGGTAGCAGTCTCATGATTTTGAAACATGGTGGATCACAGTACATATATTAAGTGGTGTCATTTCTGTCAGAAGGTTACTTCTGTAATCTTTCAGAAAACTGAGTGACATAGTAAAAAATGTTGAAAACCACTGATTTAAAGAATATTGTTTTTAGCTGTGACTACACTTGTAGTGTGAAATTGCCTTGAATTACCAACATGGTACATACATCTATAGCTGTTGAGTCTGGTGGTGCCAGTACTGCACCGACTGGAGTGGTGTTGCACTGCAATTGGTTCCAGTTTGATGGAACCCCGTGTGTCAGAGTGTCTGCGGTTCCTCCCTAATGAGACTGCAGAGAAGATTAAGGGCCATGCTCTGTTTGGCATCATCACAACTCAGGTCATTTCCCATCAGCACTGCACTCTTAATGTGAACAGTAAGTCATTGCCACCAAGTTAATTTTTTCATTCTTCGACGTTAATTCTGAAATTTGGTATTGAAAGGATAATGGAATCAAATTAAACTAGGGGAAGGATCTGTTGAAAACAGTGGGCATAAAAATATTATTATTGGTCTCATGAGAGTTATATCTCATTGCAGAGAAAGTCACTGCCTGATACACTGAATAGGATAAATGTAACTGAAAATTAAATCATGGTTCAGGGGTTTATAATCTTTAGTCTGCTGACCCACAATCATGTTTGTGATATTGTATCACTCTGCATGGTTATAAAATAGTTACTACATAATGTTTACATATTTTTCAGTTAATAGTTAGTAAGAATGATAAAACAGAAAACTTGTTAAAGTGTATAACTAAGTAAATTTTGAACCTACTTGCCTACCTAGTAACTTGTCATGCAGTTCCAATAAATTGCCTACAGTGACTTACAAGTTGATAAGAATGTATCAGTGTCGCCCTAGGTCTTGAATGGTTGAAAGCTCTTATTACAGTAAAAAAATAATATTTTGATGGTTATTATAACAAATGACAATTTAACTCATGCATATTTATGTAGTAATGAAACTGCTATTTTACAACAGCTTCTAAGTAGTGCCATATTATTCATAGAAACATCTGGATAGGGTCTGTCTGTATTTGATTCTATATATTACATTAATAAAGGCATGCTGTGCTTGAGAAATAATGATTTCCACCATATCAGTGAAGATGTTTTTAACAACTAAGTAAACAGATGTTTTTACTCACAATGAAGAACTTTTTATATACAACTAGTTTCTTGTAGCTACAAAGGTATTTTGACACTTAAATTAGACTCAAATACAAAAGGAATAACAATTTTTGAATTCTATAAAGGTAGTACAATTGAGGGATTAAATACCTAATTATAAATTACAGAAGAGAAGTTGAAATATTGGATTTTCATGCAGGTCTGATGGATGTCTGTCAACATCAGAAAGCAGAGTCAGTGATGGTGACACGAGATGCTGATGATCAACCCTTATGCCATGGAGGGGAGAAGGTTGTGGCTGAAGTATGGCACAGGGATGCCAGCTGCAGGTAGATTGCTTGTTCTGCTAATAACATGTATTGTACAGTAACATTCCTAGTCTGGTGTTGGCAGTGAATACTTATAAATTTAAAAACAACAAAGGAAGAAAATAATCAGTCTTTGATTTGGAATAGACATCAGTCTATGCTCCAGTGTGTCTGTAGTTCATCACCAATTTCAGAAGTCTGCTGTTATGCATTATGTTGATACACATGGTCTATGATAGTGTGAATTATTTAGTTGGAAATAACAATCCAGCCCGTGAAGACATTTGAACTGTTAGATATAATATTTTAAAGGATGCTTGATATAATAGTATAATAATAGTTTTGCCTTTACTTTGCAGTTTCTTATATTGTCCTTTGGGGTTACAGGAAGATTCCAGTGCAAGTGACAGATCAGCAAGATGGAACATACCTGATCTCATTTGTGCCTGACACTTCAGGAAACCTAAGCCTATCTGTATCAGTACAAGGAAAGCCAATTCAGGTGAACCAACCTTTTCCTTTCAGTGGCATGCTGAAAATATTTGATTCTGTAATTTTTTTCATTTATATGATGTGTTAGAGTTTAAATTTTATTCTGACACATTAACATCACTTATATTTTATATATCAGGTATTTCAACACTAGTATACCATTTTCAGATCATTTCTCTGTTTTTCATTTGGAACTATGTAAAATAACTGCCTGTTTAGTGTTCTGAGGGATCCTTGGTCAAATATTAAAGAAAACCAAAATGGCAATAATTAAAATACTGCAGTTTTTTCAAATTGAATTCTTATCCCCCTGCTTTCTTCATGTTTCCTTACCCTGTGATAGGACTGCAGTATACTTTTATACAGCAAATAAATTATTCTCTCTTATAATTCCATCACAGTAAAAGCTGATCTGTTATAGAATAAGGTCAAACATACAATATTCTCATTGCTGTGACCTCAATATGAAAGTAATACATTACTCCAAAACAAGATCAGAATGTGTCACAACCAAGAGGACCACCATTGATATCAGCCTCTACAATAATGTCAAGTCCCACTATAATTTGTTTGATGACTAAGTGTGGTGTACTGTTGTTACATATTCACATTTTTAATTTCATGCACACAGATCTAAATAATATATGGCTTGCTGAAACTTTAGTACAAGTAATTATTTAAATACATTATGGTTGTTGCCAGCATAATAAACATAGAAATGTAGGTGTTTAAATTTGTTCTCCCTCCATAATATATAGTCTCTCCATCTCTTCAGAGTTCTTACTTTATCTGTGGGTGTATGTTTGTAATATTTTTTCTCTAATCTTTTATCTTCCAGCATTTCAGTATGGTACTCTGTTCTTACATTTAGTTAACCTGTAGTGATTCTGCTTTATATACTTCCATTTTGTTGTGTAGCCAATAAAGTTTCCTTGTTATAACATCTCAGGAAACTTATTTTCAAAATTGTAGACATACAATAATTAATTATCCTACTTCCTATATTGTCCATGCAAGAGGCATCATTGTGTCCTAAAATATATCCCTAGTTTTCTTTCTTATCTAATCTCTTCCTGTATCTTGTGCTTCTTCCCATCCAGTCCAGTCCATGATTGAACAGTTTAAGAACTGACTTTGTGTGCAACAGGGTAGTCCGTTCCACATGTGTGTGCGTAGCATGCATCCACACCAGGGTACATTCCACTGCTGCAGCTTCTGTTCCAGTGGAGGCAATAAAGAAGCTACATGTGGTTGTGGAGGCAAGATGCCAGGTGAGATCATAATGAACTGAAGTTCTTTGTTTATATTTATTCATTTATTTAGTGAGGTGGTACCAATGAACTTTGTTGCACATAACAAGACCAGAAAAATGTTGTTGAACAATGTTCTAAAAATTACCCCAAGTCATGTGTACTGCCTAGTTTTGGGGGAAAAAGTAAGCGACTGACTGACAGACAGATATTGATGGACTCGTAAGATGTTATTTGCTCATGCTCGAGCATGGAGAACACCTAACAACTCAAGATAGTTGCACAAAACCCAGCAGGGGAAAAGTGTACCCAATGGAGTACACATATTTCCAAGCCAATAATTAATAAGTCCTTTGTCAATTTAAAATTTTATTTAATATTATAATAATTTAAATATACAAAATAAGTTACCTGTACTCTGAGTTGAATTCAGTGTAGAAAGAATTAATTTTATAATTTTGTAATTTCATTTTATATTGTATAGAATCACTTTGTGGCATGTTTGAGAATTCCATGTACAAGAGTATCTTTTCATGATGTGTATTTGTTTATTTCAGTATTAATAAACATTACACATGAATCCAAATTTACTTTCAGGTGGTTATCGAGGCTGTGGTCATGGACATACTGGCCACCCTGGTCGGCGTCACTGGTCATGCTGTGGCAACATTCTCCAAAACTCAGAGTGTGGTCGTCCTAATTCATCAGTGTATCAGTTCACTCTTTGATGAGCTATATTGGTGACCCTGCTCTTGATCATTTAATTCCTGTTATTCACCCACTACAGAGGAGTACCTGCATTTCTGCATCCCTCCATCAAGCAATCATAACAGGAGATTAGTTTACTGAGATCATTATCTTAACCTTGTCTCAATACTACTCACACTTGAATCCAAGATTTTATGCTACTACTTTTTAAAATAAGTTATTTTACATTATTTATTATTATGATGATGCAGGAATTGTGTAAATTTGTGAAAGGAACTCTCATCACATATTGTATGATATAATCAAGTGTTAGGAATTTCATTAACTCTTCTCCAGATATCACCAGGAAACAGGAAGCAAGCATGAATTAATTTAAAAGCTAAGATCCTCTATGAATGGTAATTCACATAGAAACACCTAGTCATTTAGGTTGGGAGAGGGTGGTTGTTTGCTGATTAAAATATCTGCATTACATTCAGTCATAAGCATATCTACAAATGAAGCTTGTACAGAAAAACATGTCAGTTTGGCTAATTGTATGGTTATTTTACAGTACTGTAAGAACTGTTGGGGTTATGTCACTTCGAATATGATAATTAATCAGGTGATATAGTTTGCTAAAGAAACAGAAACACCTGCAAAGCTTCATGCTGTTTAGCATGATCTTCACACTTTATTCTTGGCACTATAGGCTTCATTTTACTGTGTTATGATTAATGCTGATAACAATTATTGTTCCTATGAAGGTGAATTTGATGGAAGGAAGAGATATCCAGCCTGTAGTGCACATGTGTTTTGTTCATAGGCAGCAGTATGTAGTTTTCTGCTACATTGTGAATGTTTATATTTCAAATATATTTATATATTTGGTAACATTAAACTCTTATGTAATATAATAGATGTGTTAATATTTTATATGATCCGAAGCTTTCATGGTGATGTTCTTGGGCTACCAGCCGTGTAAGGTGGCTTAATGAAGAAAACACCAATGTTTCGAGAATGAGGATGAAGATGGTTCTTGAAACGTTGGTGTTTTCTTCATTAAGCCACCTTACACGGCTGGTAGCCCAAGAAGAATTTATTAGGTGTTAATTTTTTTTCTTTCTTCATTTCTGTCCTTTGAAGTTTACCCTTTTGAGGAAAGTTCTTCTAGTGGATAAAATTGTCAATTTAGGCCAAGTGTTTACCCATCCTATCCAGTTCCTTTACTGACATATATTCCACTAAATTCCCCATTGCTTGTATATGACTATTTCAGTGACCTGTCATTAGTAACATGTACCAAGAAAACAGTATAAAATAAGGTATAGACAGAATGTAGAGAATGTAGAATACCTGCTGTCCTTCAAATACTTTAGCCTAATTGGTAAGATGAGAATGACTAGTTAACTATATTATGATTTATTAATAATCATCATGAAACAGTACACTAAATCTAAATTTTATGGAGCAACCATTTAATGGGTAGAAAATAAATACAAAAAAGAAAAGAAATTAATTAGCATGTTTTGAAGTGATGGTTAACAGTTAAGTTTTAGAACTTTATACTGGAGAATATTTATGAAACTGTAGCACTATAGCTCTGTTAAGATATACAGATACGCATCGATTTATCTGACCGTTGTGTTCCAAAGGAAAGTTACAGAGGGTGAGAGTGCATAAATCGAAAAACGAAAACCTCTTCTCCACAGCAAGCACCTATGAATCACCAGTAAACTTCTTCCATACTACATGGTGCAACATCACAGAAGATGGTCATGAGACTTGACTTTATGTCTTATTAATGCAAAGTAAATTTGGTGTTTTAACCTCTTGACACCCCCTCCCCTCCAACGTATGAATTTTCTTCACTGAAGTAAAAAATAAAGCACACAGTGTTATTTCGTGTGGTCTGCTATCCCCAGTTTTCGTTTATTGTTTAAAATTCGCGCCACTCCAAAAGGCTGCGTAATGCTCCCATTTAAGACTATGTTCAACTTGGTAAGCTGTCTCTGCAATCATAATGCAAAGATTGCATTTAGAAGGTAAAGTGAGAAGTGGAGTGTATGCCGTTAGAGGTTAGGAATGCCCTTGGCGTAGATTAAAGTGTTTTCTTACGTGAAACTTAATCGTTTTTATTTTAGCATAAGGAGAAGCGAGGGACTGTCTTAAAACAATGATTACTACCGTTTGGACTGAATTGGCACAAGAATTGTTGAACTTTTCTTCCAGATTTCTTTCATTTGTAAGTAGTGATATTTTACACTTTTATGTAACTTTATAAATAAAGGAGGTATGAGCATCAGTTAAAAACATTTTTTAATAGGTAAAATTACGGACTAAATTAGTCGTAATGACAAGCGAAGCTAGCTTAACGTAGATGTCTGTCGTCTGGGTTGTAGCGTATAGTGTGATGGAAGTTTACCAACGTCTCCCTGATGATGGAGGCAGCAAGGACCTCTGAAACGCTGGTAAACTTCTACCGGACTACACGCCACTACAGCCTAGAGGACAGCCATCTTCCTACTCACCACCGTGAGAAACTAAACCTACTAACGTCATGTAGCTAACCATTTCGGGAGGAGCTGGTTTCAAATCTCGGTCCTGAGGCTCTTCTGAGGTTTTGCGTGTTTTTCATCATTACGTCGAGGGAAATGCTGGCCATGCAGTCGGTCACGACCTGTTCCTTTTATGCCCTTCCAAATTTATTATATACTAACACAGACAAGATGGACAGCAGTAATAAACACTGCAACATTTTTTATGAACTATCCAAGGAATGATGAGACCATTTAATCAGTTAAATAATATAATTTGTGAGTCATCTGATGAAGTTTTGTGAGCATTGAGACAGAATTTATAAATAGATTTTATTCGTTGTATGTGAGAAAAAGAAATCCCAAGATTGGAACATAATTTTCATAATATCTGCTATCATATGAAACTTGTGTATTATATATAAAAGTTGTTACTATGCAATCGGTTTTGTAGTCAAAACTTTTTGTATATTTTTGTTGCATCCTGATAACCTGCCACAGTTCTGCAGTGTCAAATATATCTATATACACCAGATCTCTGTGATGCGCCTTTTTGTTTCCAGTTGAAAGATGCTGGAATACTGCAGTCTTACTCACTTTCTCATTCAGATCTCAGTTTGATGATGGAGACACATAAGGAGGAGGAATTCTTGTCCAGATTTGTTTTGTTTATGGAATGTCTGAAGGTGAGTTTATTTCTATCAAACACATGTCATTGATTCTTTGATATAATAGTTGGAATACCTGAACAATGTGGTGACCAGTTTTATTTGCTTCTTTAGCTTGCAGAATATTTTTACAATTTCATGCTGTTTAACATTAAACATCTGTAGGTATAGTGTGTAAGTTAAAATAGGTGTTTCTTCTCATATTTATGGATGCATTTTGGTTACAGATTAGGTTAGTTTAATTTAGTATGATGACATTACTACTGTGGAGATTACTTCGTGATTAGAACACTCACAAAGCCATAAAGAAAATTGTCTTATTTTTGCTGTTGCCAGTAATTCCAATGTTATTAATCAAAGTCTTGCAAAAGCAATGTGATTTTCAGTCTATGTTCTTGATATTTATTTAGGTTTGAAGTATTCTGAATAGTGATAATTAATAACTCTGTTGAGATCTGGTTGTCAGATATAGATAGTACTCCATTAATAAAATTAACTTAGAATATTTAATCATGCTATTTCATTCACATAGGTTATGTACTGTTGTAGCTGTTCTTGTAATGATTACATGTCATATTAACAGCTGTGTCCTCAATGTGGCATAACATCTTAAAGTTGGTAATATTATCTTTATGGGTCTCACAGAAAATAAAGATTTTTGTTAAATTAGAGATAGAGTTAATTTCACTGTTTTAAATGCAGGTGACTCTTCAGCGATGTAAAGTGCTTGAACCCCAGACAAAAAGTGCTGATACAAATGTAATAACTTTTGAGACAGAAATCAGAGAAAATATTGATTGGCCTCCAGACAAAGGTGTTGGAGATGAAGCAAAGATTGCTAATTTGGATGAAAAAAGTCGCACTAACTGGTCAGAATTTGGGGGTCATAGCAATGGTGGTTTCCAAAGCCACCATGAAGATGATAAAAATAAGGATAATGACAATCTTGAAAATCTTAATGATCCCATCAAGTCACAATTGTCAGAGCTTCATATGGTGGTCGTGGCTAGTAACCATGGTGACAACTTTGAAGAACTTGATTGCATTGAAAATTCTTCCTCAGAAGCAAACAGGGCAGCAGGTACAGAAGCTCCAAAAGACAAGGTAAATTAGAGTCCCATGCCCTGTGTATTAAACATGAAAAATCTTTTCTGAATTGTGAAATTCATGTGTGTATTAACACAGGGCAAATGAAATTAATTATTAGGAGCATAGAAGGAATTGTATAGGCATGTAGTATTTTCTAATTTATGATATTGGATAGAAACTGGCTTATGCTTAATGAAGATATAGCTTGTAAGAAAATAATAAATTATACCAATATTATAGAATTAAGATAAAAAGGAATTTACATGTATAAAATGTGATGCAAATGGGAGAATAAAATCAAGAATTTATCAGAATTGGAGGGGGGGGAGTAGAACTGTAGTGGTAAGATAGAGTATGTTTAGTAGGAAACAGCACTAACTGAGAGTTATATAAAGATGTGGTTCTAAGAAACCTGGTGTTAGGTAGACACATGCAATTTGGTATGCATTCTTTTTTTGACATATGAACATTTTTACCAGCAGTCTTTTCAACGCAGATCACGGCTTCATGGCTTGCTTTATGCACTAAACATGGCGGACCAGCTACATCACCTATTGCATACACATTTGACTCATTAGTTTCATACCATCCATGCATTTCAATAGAACCAGAAGGGCTTGGTTTAATTTTTGTATTTTCTAAACCTATATTTCTAATTGACTAGCTGGTGTAGACATAGGGAGGATGAATGAAACTAGTGGCAGGCTGGTGTTGGTGTGTGAATGTGGTTGTTCTTTGATTAATTTTTTATTAACAAGTTCCATATTTTTCAGTCCATGAATTTTGTACAATTACATGGTGGAATGTATAGCTGTCCTACATGTGACAAATCATTCACCACTAGGTCTGCAATTGTTCGACACTACAGAACACATACTGGTAAGTGTAAGCTGATCAGAAACATATATAAAATGCTGTATATTCATTAATATTTTTTTAGTTACTGCCAACTGCATATAAGATGTACACTTATAAACATTGCACATGTATTCAAGAAGTAATATGCTAATTCAACAGAGAATGTAGGGGTCTTCTAAACAAACTTACCATTTTTAATGTCAGGTAGTAGCAAAAATGTTATTAACATTTTTTGCATATGATCCTTAGAATGTAAATGCCTTTGTAACACTCTGGCACAGCTGCATTTAAATGGGCTGTGTTTTATATAGGTTGAGGTTTCTTAGCCTCACTGCTGCTAAAGAATGATAAGAATATTATGATACCTTCATAGGCTGTGTTTACATCAGCATAACAAATTTAGTTTATGGTAAGAGAATAATTGGCTAGAAAATAGTTTTTGTTTTGTTATATATATTGGTATAATTCCCTGCTTTGTGGAGTGAAGTCCAGTGTTGTCTGTTTCAGGGGAGAGACCCTTTCCTTGTGACTTTTGCAACAAGACATTTGCATCAAAAACTAGTGTTGAATCACATCTCTTACGACAGCACAGTCTGAATACCGAGTCAGCATTGGCTTGCCGTGAGTGCGTTACTTGACAGGTGACTCTACCTGACTGCATGTTTTCTCAATTGAGTACATGAATTAAATTGCAGTTGGTGTGTTGCTTCTTTATTACTTCATCTCACAAAATTTCATAAAACATGTGAAATAAAATGAAGTATTTATAAGAGTAGTCACCCTCAGTGGACAAGTGGTTAGTGTGCTTGCCACTGGACTCAAGATTCAAACATGGCTGAGGTTGAGTGATTTTTAATGGTGATAAAAATCTGTTGCACAACTTCATTCGGAGGAGAAGTAAAGCCGGTGGTCCCATGTCGTAGATTTACAGCATGTAAAAGAACTTTATGAGAATGAACGAGATGTTTCATAAGGAAAATTCAGCTGCCATTTCTCACCCAAGTCTCCCGATTGACTGCTAGATGGGTCTGGCAGTCAAATCGGGATTCAGTATGCTTTGCTATGAGGACTGTCACATCACTCATGAAAATGGAAACTTTACAATTAGTCTATTTTGCTTGCTTCCATTCGATCATGTCATATGGAATTATATTCTAGGGAAACTCAAAAGACAGCAAATAAATATTTTACATTCAACGACGGAAAATAAAAGTATTGTATTCAAAAGCAAATCGTTAGAATAGTGGCAGGCAGTGAAAGGAGAGCCTTATGAAGGGAATTGTTTAATAAATTTAATATTCTTTCACTAGCCAGTGATTTTTTTTTTTCATAATTTATAGTGAACAGCATAGAAAAAACAAACACTGTGATATTCACAATATGTTTACAAGATACAGATATAACCTTCATGTGCCAACCACTAACTCAGTAAATATCAGAAAGGAATTTATTATACTGAAATTAAGATATTAATTAATCCCCCCCCCACTGTAAAAGTCTGAATCATTGAATCATGATATAAAGATGTTTAAGCAGACACTAGAGTATCTCCTATCTCACTCCTTCTACTCCATAGAAGAATTTACCTCTACCAGTTTTTCTTAGCTATTATAAATACATGCAAGCAATAGTGGTTATACTTTCTTGTATAATTATTTTTTGTGGTAATACTGTAGTTAACTGTAAATTACTGTTATAACTATTATAATTTATATTTGTATTAGAAACAAGTATTGTATTTGTGACATGTTTTACATTCTTTGCTTAGGCCTATGAAGGATCTATGGAATATAAATAAATTCAATTTTATTCTGTTCTGTTCTATATTAAGCAAAGTTCTAACCACTACACATCATTTATTGTCAGTGCTATTCTTTTGTAAAGTGTCACATAAGTACATAGTGTGAGCTAATTGCGCATTTGTTTTTTAACCTCCATGCTTATAAATTGGCCTTCTGCTAAATATTCTAACCCCACATCTTTGTCATGGAAGTGGGAAACATCTAATATGGTGAAGGTGAAATGTAATTCCTGACACAGCCTCTGAAGAATCCTGAAAATATATGTAAGAAGGCTCGAGTGTAACTGTGATAGGCTTAGCAATTTAACAGTGGATATCAGGTTGATTTCAAGAATTGAATAGACTCAGACCATCCATAACCAAACCATCATACTAGTTCACATTTGACTTTGTTATTAATGCTCAAATAGAACAACCATGAAGTATGAACAAGTATGTAATAGTTTGTAGCCTATTTCTCTCAATGAGTTTGGGAGCAGAGAGAAATGGTAATGACATTCTTTTTGTCAACAGCGGATTGTGGGAAGCTCTTTGTACGTCGCAACTCGCTAGAAGTTCACCTGATTACCCACAGCAAAGACAAGCCTTTCTCATGTGATGTCTGCAGAAAGACATTTTCACAGAAAGTTACTCGAGATATCCACCTGGCCAGGCATACAGGTAAATTAACAAGAGTCAAAAGTACCCACCTGTATGTGTATAGTGCTGCATTGTCAGTTTTGCTGTTCTGTGACATGTCTGCACTCATAAGCAAGACAAAATTGAAAACCACTGTGACTTTGTTGTGCTGTAAATTTTAATCTGTTCTTCAATTTTTACAAGTTCATAATAATGTTACAGTCTGTCTTTGGTTAAATTATTGAAGTCAGTGTGGTGATGTGGAAGATCAACCTGAAATATCCTCAGTTGTTAGAACAGTAGTCAGAAAGGGCAGAGTGATAAAAAAAACAAACATGGGAGGTCAGAATTAGCAGATGATTTACAATATATGTAAGTTCTTCAAAGATTCAGCACCCTGAACATCTTGTTAATACATATCTACAAAGCCTAGTATGTTGTCCATATTGCAAAACACTGAAGGGAGTTTCCAGTCATTATGCAAAATCCTCATGCATACATAACATATAAGTATATGCACTGTTTTTTCTCACAAACTAAATATTGATTGTGATGCAGTTTCTGAAAAAATTGTCTTAACTTTGAGCTACATTCCATAGCCGGAATATAGGTGGTAGAGTGCAGAGAATGTAAATTTGTAACTGTGTATATTTTTAAGTACACAGTGAGTAACACCTTTAAATGCAAAGAAAGCTAATTCATTTATTAAAAATAATAAAATCCCACAGCAAATATAAAGGTTATGATTATAATAACAATGAAATTAAGAATGTGGTAGTCAGTACATCTCATTCATTCTATTACAAACGAAAGTATTACACAAGGTTATAGTGAGAATTTCTGCAAAACTTTTATCTTCATTGAAGTGGTATGGGCTCTGCTATTGGTATTGCAACATTGTTCAGTTTTGCTGTAAACTTAAACATCTAATTTCAATATGGTTGCTCTGTTATAGCTTTAATGCTTTGGAGTTCTATTTAGGAAGCAGTGAGATTCAATCTAAATTGAGTCATGGAATACCTCATTGAGGTTTGTCGTCGTTTACTGGGTGAATGCCTGGAAAGTGTGTTCAAATAGTCACATCCTTATCACTCATAATTTATGATTGATCCATCTGTTTCAGGTCTATACAACCTCTTTTTCAGCTGAAACAGTGTAATTAGAAAAGCATTAAGACTTCTAATGGTTTTGCAGAATTCATGTAACCTAAATTTCTTCTAAACAAAGAAAAGTGACAGAAATTTGAGTATTGTCTGTGTTAAGGGACACTGGATTTCAGAAATTTTACTTACATTTTGTCACAAGGTAAAAATTAAAGAGAGAGAATAGGTATTCTGATAAACATTGCAGTAGCATGCAAGATTCCTGAAACAGGGTAAGGTTGGAATTCTAAACCCTAGGCTAACAGTAGTTCTGTTATGCAGGAAAAGAATACATTTGCTGTTGAATTGTCTTACTAAAGTGTCTGTTTACTTTAAAGGGCAGTATGATCACACCTGTAACATCTGTCACAAGAAGTTTGCTTCACGTGCCAAACTTAATGAGCATATGCACCAACACCGCAGTCCAAGATTCAGATGTGAAGAATGTGGTAAGCAGTTTGTTCGTCAGGATGCACTCCGCACTCACCAAAGGGTTCACACAGGCGAGCGACCTTATCACTGTTCTTTGTGCAACAGATCTTTCTACACTGCATCCAACCTTCGTCTTCATGAGCAGGTACTTTCATATGTGTGGTGTGGTATGCCTTTAGCATAACTTCCAGATTTGGTGTAGTTAGTGTCTAATAATGATGAATAAAACAAAATGCTATAGTAGTTCAATGCACATACAGTGAAACCTCGATGCATCGTTTTCGGCGGGGGTGGGAAATAAAAACGATGAATGCGGGAAAACGATAGATGCGGGAAAGCATTAAAATTTTTAAAAAAAACAATGTTTCTCTTTCAAAGTTACTTCTTTTTACCAAAAAAGTCTTTAATGGACAACTGGTTTGTCGAAACTTTACGTTTTAGACCAAACAGAGCACTTTCCACGTTCAAAATGTTTTCCTCGTCACGTTCACTAATATTAAGCGCATAAAAGAACAACTTCACTTTCGCCAATGCAGCGTGTGCTTCGGCAAAACTCGGCAAAGCTTCGGGCTCGCATTCGTCGTCTTCCTCTTCCTCACTTTGCCTTTCCTTTGTCCTTGTAATAAAAGCATTTGTGAAGAAATTCACACTGCACATGCCATCTGGCATCGCTGGAACGAAATATGAGTGCACCCTAATTAAAATCGTAAAATTTCTGACAATGCGCGCCGCCATTCTCTCCAACTATCACCCCTGCACCGCTGACCCTCATTCCAAAAGAATGTGCTGGTTGGGCGACATAACAGGTTACCGCTACTGTGTATTCCAAAAACATTATGCGTCTTTCGGTATTAATTTATCTCTAAACCCAGCATTTTAAATTCTCAGGAACGATCATTGCGGGAAAATTGTGGGCCGGGACTACGATTTTTGAACGATCGATGCGATAAAACGATAGTTCGAGGAACGATAGAAGCGGGAAAATGTAACATTATTTTATATGGGATGTATTCGGGACCGAACAAAACGGACGATGCATCCGGGAAAACGATAGTTCCGGGAACGATGGATAGAGGTTTCACTGTAGTATGTTTCTGTGGGTTTTGTTGCTATTCATAGTATGTGTAAGCTGTCTTTTGTTTTATATGTGTGTGTATAACACTGTAAACTTTCAAGTCAGAAACCAAGCTGGCTTGCCTTAAAGTTCATGAACAGTTCATATTTAGACTCTGCATATTCCTACTTTCCAGTTTTGTTTAAGAACACATTTTTTTGTATAGTCCTGACATTGTATGTGAGCATGTAACAGGATGAAAATATGCATGTTCATTTTAGTAAATTAAATTCTATGTCAGATGTATTTCACGCAAAGATTACCATAAGACTAACAGCTCAATTCTCTCTCTGCTTTATATAATGACGTAAATAAAAGAGCTCTGTAATAGGTATGCTTTTGCGTTTGTGCAAATGAAATAAAACTGTAATGTCTTGATTTTTTATTAAAAGGTGTATAAATTTACAAATAGTGTGATTTAATAAAGAACAGCAAATTCAGTTAAAGTCCATGTCAAAGTAAGGTTTTTATGTTTTTACGTGGTTCAATCTTTATTACAGTCACACAGTAAAGTGGCTGGCTTCAAGTGCCATCAGTGTGGGTCAAAATTCAAACATAAGTCAAGTCTTTCTGCACACATGAAGAGTCATGCAAGTTCAGGCTTGTTGCCATGTCCAATGATTGACTGCAGAAGAGCTGAGAGGGGATTTCTCCATGCTCGCAGTGTTCAAGCTCATCTACGCAATCACCACCAGAGGTTTCTTTGTGCAATTGTAAGCTTTAATAAGTGTAACTTGCTTTCTTTGTTGGTGTCCTTGCTTCAGTGTGCATGGAAGAATATGCCATGGCTTCAGAAGCAAAACTGCAAGTGTAGTCAGTGAAAAATGTTATGGAAAAACATTTCAGCTCTTTGGGAATCACTTCTCATGATTAAGGTGCTGGAAACAGCCCTTTTATAAAACATTTTCCACAAATGTGACATTTAAGAAAATGATGGTGCTGATGATTTAGCTCACCATAATGAAGCTTTTGTTCTAAGTCATACGTGTTCTATAATGGTTACACTGTATGATTTTGAACTTTTTAATTGTATGTATTTTTCTTGAAGTGCTTAAAATGAACACATAATGGCTGAGGTGATGTCCCTCTGTACTTATATTTCATTTCCAAAACTTGTGAACAAATGGCCACCTTCTGTGATGTTACACCATGCAGTCTGGTAGGTATTTACTAAAATTTCAGAGGCCCCTCTTTGTATCTACTGGACTATATAGTACAACATCCCAGGAGATAACCATCTTTATGTTCATTGCTATGAGAACCTAAAATCTCACCTAGTGATTTATATCTTAATTGCGTCATGTTTGTGTTTATTAATACAATAATTTATTTACCGTCTTTACACAAACTTAAAAATGTTGTTAAAATTACTTAAAATTATAACATTTTTTCATTAGATACTAGATCTTGTTACATTTTACATTGACGACATGTTTCGATGTTATCTCATCATCATCAGGTCTATCAATTAAAATCTGTTGCACTTCTTGCTCTGCGTATATTGATTTGTTTTATTTGTTTGATTTTTTAAGTTCCTTCCATTAAATTTGAAGGCTGTGCCCGGATGCTTTAAATCTGTAAAATTAATTTTAATTTTCAAATCGTGATTTTGGATAATGACATAGGAAATAGAATAATTTACTAATTTAAAGAGTTATTACGTAATTTTAATGGAAGAGACTTAAAAAATCAAACAAATAAAACAAATCAATATACGCAGAGCAAGAAGTGCAACAGATTTTAATTGATAGACCTGATGATGATGAGATAACATCGAAACATGTCGTCAATGTAAAATGTAACAAGATCTAGTATCTAATGAAAAAATGTTATAATTTTAAGTAATTTTAACAACATTTTTAAGTTTGTGTAAAGACGGTAAATAAATTATTGTACTCACCTAGTGAACAAATTTATTTACAATTTGGTAATGAAGGGTTTGTGTTAGAAGTTATTAGGTGAATTTCACTGTTACTTGTATTAGTCAGATGTATTCTCTGCTTTATATGAAACAAAAATTTAATTTTAAATAGTTTTGTACAATAATTAATCATACAGAAAATTGGTACATGAAATTAAATATTGATCTTCTTAAGATCTGAAACTTGTATTTGGAATAATTTTTTTGGTATGGTAAATATTTAATGAAATGCAAGTAAAAATCTTTTCTGCCTCCAAGCAATGTGATTAGCTCTGCAACAGTAGATTAATAGCCACAATAAATTAAAGTAATGTGTGTGGTATAAAAAATTGCAAGGAATGCATTTGGAAAATAGGTGTGTGTGTGGATTGCAGTGTGGCCATGAGTTTGGAAGTAAGTCAAGCCTTCTGGAACATGAGAAACTTCACAGTAATCAGTTGTTCATGGAGAATCCGAAGCCTCATTCTTGTCATCTCTGTCCAAGAAGATTTGCACAGAAGGGAAAGCTGAGTGCACATATCAAAACACATTTACAGGTGAACTCAATCATAGATAAGTAGTTGTTCCTAAATTCCCTTGTTATGTTGTGATAGTTTCTTGAAATTATTTTTAAAACTTTGCAGTGAGGATACAAAATATTTACTCACCATCAACCATGAATAATTAAGTATGACAGCCTATCATTAATAAATTCTACTTTTAACTGCACGCTGAAGATCTCTTTTCACTAAAAAATCTGTTTCCAGGCAGTGGTCTTTATTCCCTTTTCCATAGAGTAATATGTAGTTTGCCTTTGTTAGTCTTCCATCATCAGGCCACCTAACCTCCTGTATTCCTGCAATATCTAAACTATACTTCCCTACCTCCATAGCTAATGTATCCCATGCTGTTGTTTCATAGACCAGTTGCCAACCTCTCATGTTTTCAGAAGAGTGCATATTATGCAGGAATCAAAATTTTCAACAGTCTACCATCAAGTCTCACAAGTCTTGTAAATAAGAAGGAGCAATTTAAGGTAGCATCAAAAAGATACTTAATTACCTACTCCTTTTACTCTGTCAATGAATTTATGTTGTTTACAAATAAGT